GTAAAAGAAATGAGAGAGAATATAATACTATTTATTATTATTAGCCTGATCTTCCAAGGCATTCATGTGTGATCAGCCATTCATTTTCTTGTTGAAGTTCCCTATGTCCTGATCCAGCTCTGACTGAACTGAGTGGCAACACTCCCCTTGACTTCAACAGAGGCATAACAGAAAAAAATACATTTTTTTTTTTGCCTCAAAGACCTTTGAGCCTCAGAATGTATGTAGCTTTTTTGCTATTTGGAGAATATTATTTAACGAATCCTTCCCACAAAAAGAGATTGTGGGCGTTTGAATACAGGGTGTTTGTTCAGGTCCATCAATACTAATATTCACTATCAACTACTGTCAATCCTGGGTTTCTTTCTGTCAGTACATTGGATAGATTAGATAGGGACTCACACATGCTCATTCATTTTGTTGTCTGCTGGGCAGAACAAAATGCACTGAAATTCCTCTGGGAGAGGTCTGCTGAAAAAGTCACAAGCTGCCCGTTTAACTGTCTGAATTGTTTTAAAATGAAACTGATCTTTACAGAACTGAAGAGAAAGTTATTTGTAAAGGGGGAATAAGGCATGCAATTTGCATTAGGCACACAAATTAAAATAAAGTGGGCTGATAAAAAATGTATTAAGGTGCATTTTCTTTTTTGAATAGGAGAATGCTAATGAAAGGAATGATCTATGGAGGGCATAAACACTACCTCAAAGTCCATGGGTCACTGGCAAAAGGTTTAACAAAGCAGCTCTCAGTGATGCCTTGAAAGATGACTATCTGGCATGTGTAGTATCAACTTAGAAAACAATTTAACAGCCTCACCATCCCACATTAGCTATGAGTTTTAAGGGTTAGGTCAAACACTTCACTTTGATTTCGATATTTAAAAGATTGAATGCAGTATCTACCCTTATAAAATGTTGCATCTCATGAGATATAGAGGGAGGAAAGAAGTACACAAGTAGTACACATGCACTGAGACAAATTCAGCTCTGGACTCAATGAGAGGAACTCCAAATGAATGGCATGATGCCTACTTCACTAGCAATGAACCTGGCCTACAATGTGTATATGTATTATATATAAAGAGATGAGCACTGTGTTATAAATTGCAGATACAGGTCAAGGTCTAAACTTGTTAAAAATTTGAGGGTTCATACCCTGTATCAGGGGTTCTCAAATTTCATTGTACTGCGACCCCCTTCTGACAACCAAAATGATTTCATTACTCCAGGAGGAGAGACTGTGAAGCCTGAGCCTATGCAAGCCCCACCACTCCAGGCAACGAAGGGCCAAAGCTGAAGCTCACAGACTTCAGCTCCAGGCAAGGGGCCTGAAACCTGAATCCTGCTGACTAGGGCTGAAGTCCTTCTGCCCTGGAGACCCAATTTATAGGGGGTTGAGATCCACTTTGCGGTCCCGACCCCTGCATTATACAGTCCTTATTGCAAGCCTGTTTTAAAAATTTGTAGCACCAAATGGAGGGAAGATAATGGAGTAAGTGATTAAGGATTCATCTGCAAACACCTGGAAGAAAATAAGGTGATACGTAACAGCCAGCATGGATTTGTAAAGAACAAATCATGTCAAACCAATCTGATAACTTTTTTGATAGGATAACAAGTCTTGTGGATAAGGGAGAAGCAGTGGATGTGGTATACCTTTAGTAAGGTATGTGACACAGTCTCGCATGACCTTCTTATCAATAAACTAAGGAAATACAACTTAGAGGGGGCTACTATAAGGTGGGTGCATAACTGGCTGGATAACCGTACTCAGAGAGTAGTTATTAATGGTTCACAATCCTGCTGGAAAGGTATAACTAGTGGGGTTCTGCAGGAGTCTGTTTTGGGACCGGCTCTGTTCAATATCTTTATAAACCATTTAGATATTGGCATAGAAAGTACGCTTATTAAGTTTGCAGATGATACCAAGAGCTGAGACGCGTTGGAACTGCTTTGGAGGACAGGGTCATAATTCAAAATGATCTGGACAAACTGGAGAAATGGTTCATCAAGGTGAACAGGGTGAACTTTAATAAGGACAAATGCAAAGTACTGCACTTAGGAAGGAACAATCAGTTTCATACATACAGAATGGGAAGTGACTGTTTAGGAAGGAGTACTGCAGAAAGGGATCTAGGGGTCAGAGAACCACAAGCTAAATATGAGTCAACAGTGTGACGTTGTTGCAAAAAAAAAAAAGGAAACCTGATTCTAGGATGCATTAATACAAGTGTTGTCTGCAAGACCCAAGAAGTCATTCTTCTGCTCTACTCTGTGCTAAATAGGCCTCAATTGGAGTAGTGTGTTCAGTTCTCAGCTGAAAGGAATTTAGGGGTCAGAGTGGATGACAAGTTAAACATGAGTCAACAGTGTGACATTGTTGCAAACAAAAGCAAACATGATTCTGGGATGCATTAACAGGAGTGTTGTGAGCAAGACATGAGAAATAATTTTTCCACTCCATTTTGCACTGATTAGGCATCAATTAGAGTACAGCAGCTCCCCGAGTTATGAACAAGTTACAGACCAACACTTGGTCCGTAACTCGATGTGTTCGTAACTTGGATCCCATAGAGTTACATGGCAACTGCGCTGTTCATAAGCGCGGATCACTGTTCGTAACTCGGATCCGCATTTACGACCGCTTTGGTCGTAAGTGCAGATGGTCGTAAGTGGAGGTGGTCGTAATTCAGGGAGCGGCTGTATTGTGTCTAGTTCTGGGCACCACATTTCAAGAAAGATATGGAGAAATTAGAGAAGGGTCAGAGAAGAGACTCCTGCCTGTCAGGGTGGTTAAACACTGGAATAAATTGCCTAGGGGGGTTGTGGAATCTCCAACACTGGAGATATTTAAGAGCAGGCTAGACAGACACCTGTCAGGGATGATCTAGACAGTGCTTGGTCCTGCCATGAGGGCAGGGGACTGGACTCAATGACCTCTTGAGGTCCCTTCCAGTTCTAGTGTTCTATAAAAGCAGCTAGGATCAAGGAGCATGGGGTAAAAAGGTCAACTTTGGCAGTAGCACTGGTTCACACCATTGAGAATAGTCTTGCAGCACCTTAGTGGTTTTTTAAGTTTTTCCAGTTATAGACTGAGGGTATGTCTACACTTGCAGCCTACTTCGGAATAGGGCTGCAAATGTAGGCATTTGGAATTGCAAATCAAGCCTGGGATTTTAATATCCCGCACTTGATTTGCATCTTCGTGGCCGGGTGCCATTTTTTGAAATTCACAAGCCTGGAATAACTGCCCGCATCTACGCGTCAGTGAAACTGGTGTTCGAAATAAAGCCCTATTTCAAACTACCTGTTATTCCTCCTGCAATGAGGTTTAACGGGTAATTCGAACTAGGGCTTCATTTCGAATGCCCGTTTCACTGACGCGTAGATGCGGGCAGTTATTCCAGGCTTGTGAATTTCAAAAAATGGCTCCCGGCCACGAAGATGCAAATCAAGAGCAGGATATTTAAATCCCGGGCTTGATTTGCAATTCTGAATGCTTACATTTGCAGCCCTATTCCGAAATAGGCTGCAAGTGTAGACATACCCTAACTTAGCTACCCCTCTGAAACAGCTGAGAATGTTATTTACCAAGTGCAAACTGTTTTCCACAAGAATGAAAACTTTCAGTGAGATATTCAGAAGTGTTTGGGGTTGGCCTGCTCTACTCTTAGGGTACGTCTAAACTACATGGCTCCATTAACGGAGCCATTTAGATTTGTTTGTTCAGCAAAGAGAAATGAAGCCGCGATTTAAATAATCGCGGCTTCATTTAAATTTAAATGGCTGCTGCGCTGGGCCGACAAACAGCTGATCAGCTGTTTGTCGGCCCAGCGCAGCAGCCATTTAAATTTAAATGAAGCCGCGATTATTTAAATCGCGGCTTCATTTCTCTTTGCTGAACAAACAAATCTAAATGGCTCCGTTAATGGAGCCATGTAGTTTAGACGTACCCTAAGAGTAGAGCAGGCCAACCCCAAACACTTCTGAATATCTCACTGAAAGTTTTCATTCTTGTGGAAAACAGTTTGCACTTGGTAAATAACATTCTCAGCTGTTTCAGAGGGGTAGCTAAGTTAGGGTATGTCTACACTTGCAGCCTATTTCGGAATAGGGCCAATGGAAGTAGGATCAGGGCTTAAATGAATCAAGGGCTCCTATCTCACTGAGAAGCTATAAAATGAGTGAAGCAGCTAAGTGCAGACATTCTTGTCTCTCAGAATATACCCCTCATGTGCTTATGACATTCTGTGATGGAAGGAGTGGGGCCTAGATAAATAATATTCCACTTTCTTCCTTTTTCAAACTTAGGAAATCTCATAAAACACCCACAGTAACGGTTGCATGGTTAAGTACTCAGAAATCCAAAAGTTAAGTTTGCACATGCAAACTTAAATTGGCCTCTTGTGCATGTGCAACATGGTACAGCCTTTAATTTGGCCAATAATAGAGTATGATAATTTTTTCTACAAGCTTAGACGCATATGAGTAGCATAATTTCCATTAATGTTTTTATTTGTTTTGTTGTTGTCTGTAGGATTTGATATACTTAGGGTAATACACAATAGAATCTGAGTGTATCTAAGCTGCAGAAAGAAGTATGATACTATGCTTTTATTATCTGAGAAATAATGTCATTAAAGATTGAATCATTAGGTATATGTACTATGGACAGAGCTAAGTTCATAAGCAATTTTAACACTGGCATTTCTTTAAGGGCTGGCCTGTGCAATCTTAACATTCATGTAATACAAGTTTTGTCTTTTAATGGAATAAACAAAAGGGAAAAGTGTAGTACTATGCTGCTGTGGGCTGACAGTGACAAAATGACTATAAATAAAGGACAGAAATAATGGCCACAGGAAAATAAATGTGGTGGTCTACGGCAACTATTTCTGCCAGAGAAAGAGTCACTAGAACCTTTTTCAGACAAATGATAAAATTGTTTTCATTACAGAGATATAGCTGATAATAAATGTGCTGTACTTTGCTATTTACCTTTATTTTCCTCCCAGGGGCTTCTCTGTTTCATATGAACTTCCCCGGCTCCACCATTTTGGAAACTACCATGACACAGCAGAAGCTAGTGAAAAAAACAACAACACAGCATGTGTAACGGTATGGTTTGTAATGGCTGAATCACACTGACACATTTCCAAGATGTCTGTAGCTACAATGAACTGCTGTGCAACTGGCAGAGAGACTCAGAAAACAACGTCCAAGGAGACAAGAGAGAACTTAGAGAGAGGAAAGCATCTCTGGATATAATGGCCAACCCTGCCAGAATCACTATAATTGAGGTTGTGTCAGCATTTCCATTATCAACCTCATTGTTTAAGACTTCATAACTCATCTGTCATCATCTGATCCAGGCTGAATCACAATATACATCAGGCTTTTTAAAATTTATCTTTGCAAATACTGAAAACAATACAGTTCAAGCCTTTTGCAAGGGTAGAGGGGGAAGGGGGCTTGGGTGCTGGGCAAAAGGAATGTAGCAAATAACATTTGGAAATCAAGGTAAATGCTCTTGGCACTTAGTAGTTTGGTATGATAACCTACCCAGCAGACTTTGAAATTGTACTGTGAGTGGCCTGTAACTAAAAGCCCAATGTAACTACCATTCCAGTAACGGAAAGACATTCTCATAACTACACTCAGACTTGGCTTGGTTCCCATGGGAGGAGCTCTCTTTTGAAAACCAAAATACTTGTTAAACTAACTGGATAATACCATATTAAGCAGTTATAAATTAACTGGTACATAACAGAGATGGCCGCATCGAATGATGATCATATTTACAGTGCAAAAGGAAAACAAAGCATAATATTGACAATATTATGGAAATCCCCAGCTATCTCCAAGTTTTCCCAATGTCTTCATAGAAACGTCAAGAAAGGAAATGTTTCTGCCTTTTGAGAGGGACCTGCATATAGGCGTTGAGGAATATTTTCATCTAATAAGAACAGGACCCTCTTGTGTGAGGAAATCCCACAAGCAAACCAGGGCTGCTCAGTCAACTGCACTAACATACCCTTTCCACAGAGTCTGCATTGGCTCAGGCTTCAGGTTTGTGGCAGCAGGAAAGCCTGAGCCAGATAATCCCCCGGCTCAGGTACTTCCCCAGACTTGTCAGACCTCAGGATCTGTCTATGCAATAGCTCTATTTGGCCAGGAACCCTCCTGCTCCCTCACAGTGCATCTGCCTCTCTGGACTCCCAGCCTGATCCAGTTACTTCCCCAACCCTGCCTAGGCCCCATTCCACTTTTTGTCCTTGCCCTATGTATGGGAAACTGCCCCGTGATAGCCTAAGGGGGTCCCCCAAAGGCAGGATCGATGCCCCTTTTCTAAAGGGATATGTGGTCCCTAAAATATAATTACCTCCTTTTACAGTAAATATGGCCACATGGGCCTGGTCCCAAAGTCCTGTTCTCTCTCTTCAGGGTAAATACGGTCCAAACGCCTACCCAAAAGTATTGTCCCCTCTCTCAGAAGGAATACAGCCCAGTAGGCCTAGTTCAAAAGCACTGTTCTCTCTTTTATGGCCCTGCAGGCCTAGTCTAAAAAGCTCTGTGGTCTCCCTCTGGAAGGCTCTCTGGCCTGGAGGCCTTCGCCTCTGGTGAGTCTCTCCTGGCTATCAGGGAGGCGAGTGTTGCGGGGCAGGGAGGGAGGGGAATCCAGACCCTCTTGCTCCACCGAGTCCCAACCCAGGGCCCTGCTGGCAGTGGACGCTTCCACTGCCTGCTCAGTGGGGCGTCCCGCTGAAACGCGCTGAGCTCCTGGAGGGACAAACCTCCGCCCTGGGCCGCTTCCTACTGTCCCTGGTGTTGGGGCTGTCACTGAGGCTACGGTGGCTGCTGCCTGGGCTGTGGCTCCTGGGGCTGTAGCATCGGCTGCTATGGGAAATGCTCAGAAGCTCCAGCCTGAGCTCCTTCCCTGCTGGTGATCAGCCCAGACTGAGCTGCTCCCCTGGCTTTTATACAGCTCCTGCAGTTGGAGTATGCCCAGTCTGGGAAGAAGGGCGGGACTTCCTCTGTTCACAGGGTCTTAGCTCCGCCCCCTTTCAGTGCGGGGCACATCCGCCCCATCACACCTTACTTTGAGATTGTGCCAAACCTGTTACTGGCACACTCTAGCCTTGCCTCCATCTCCTGATCCTTTCAGACTCTGACCATCCAGCTTCAGCCTTTGGCCTGTATCTGGACTCTGGCTACAGTAGTGATTTAGCTTGTTCACTGACTTTCAGCACTTATCTCAGTTTGCACCTGCATTCTACTTAAGGTACTGACATCGTCAGAAGACTCTAGCCACAGCAGACTCTAACCAGTGGCTTGCACCTGGACTCCGACTATAGTACTGATATTGGCTGGTCTATGGACTCTGATCTCTATTCTGACTCCAGATTGTCCCTGGATCTCAATTCCAGCCTATACTCAGCCTAGTCCTTACCCTACTAAACCTGACTATTGGGAGATAGCGCTATATGTATATCACTATCACCACACAAAAGAATAGTCAAAACTCGGGTTGTCCTACAGGGTCAAACGGACTAAAGAAAAAACTATTTTCACCAGTAAAAGCAGACACAATGTGATTTAAAAATGAGAGCACACCCACACCCTCTTACACACCATTAACCCTGTTTTTTTCTCTCATATTTAAATCTTTCCTCATTCATGCCTCCCAAGTTCATTTCCAGAGGCAGGCAGAAATGAAGCAAAGCAGACCTGGCCAGCAATAGAAGAAACAAAGTTGACAATTGTGCATGTGGCTCACTATAAAAATAGAAATCAGAGGTGTGTGCGCTAGGTGGGATGGTTCCCTTTGCACAGAATTTGGGTCAAGATTTGTATATTATTTACTTTTTTTAGAGAAAAAAATACATATTTATACCTTGCTTCCACCTTTTTTCCCCGCCCCCAAGAAGATCACGCTAAAACTTTTATCAAGCAAATAATTAAAGGCAATACATCATCCTGCTTAAATGCTCCTGATACTGGAGAGAGAGGTTATTTTCTTACCTCACACTATGCCTTCTGAAATCTGACAGTGTCACCCAGTCAGTCATTTCAATGTCAGCTACTCTTTTATTATATGGAATACAAGTAATAATGAAACTGTGCTGATCTGCTTGCTTTCACTCTATATAGTGTCTATATTTATACACTTATGCTTCTATTTGAATCTATATTTATCTGCTCTATCTGCCTACAGTGCATCTGTTTCTCTACACACATACATAATATATATATACACACACAAAATTGTGTGTGTGTGTATATATACATATATATATAAACACATGCTGATACACCCAAGAATATGCATCAATTTACTGTATGCTCATGAATTTCCATCAGCAACAACACAAGGGTATAAATACAAACATGTGCAATATATAACACATGCATGATAGAAATGTGTATAAACACACAATGTTATACACAGCTGAATTCTGAGGATCTGAATAAGTCTTAATAGTAGTTGGCTTTCGGAAGCTTTGTTAGCTACTGGACTACAGATTCAAAGGCCTTGCCTTGGTTGAGGTTTCCTTATGTTTCTCCACTGTTGTAGCTCTGCTGGTGGTAGCAGTGCTGTGAACATCCACATATTACAAGCTTTTGTACTCATCAGGGTTTTTGCTGCCACGTCACACAGACTTGCTATGAAGATGCCTGAGTGGCACAGTAGTTAAAAAGTTGAGTCTCCACGTCAACCACTGTTACAATTATTATACTTGCCCCCGTGCCACAGCAGGACATTTTATGAAAAGGATCAGTAGAAAGCAGCAGGGGAACTAGCAGGGGGCCTGATCGGATATGCTGTTCGACAACAGGAAGCAGTGCAACCTGCTCCCAGTCATGCCACTCAGGGGAGGAAGTTGGGGGAAAGGGTTGATCTGCCCACACTGGCTGGTGGGGGGGCACACACACCTCCTGGTCCCCCACACTAATAATAAGCCTAGGAAAGGCCTGGGCCAGTCTGTACCCAGCTCAGTGCAAACACCGGCTCTGCACTGGGGCAACCCAAACCAGGGTGCGAGGGGCAGGAGGAATGGGATGGAAAATGCCACTAAACGATCCCAAGGGCTTTATGTACGTAACCCCCTGCCAGGTGGAGCCGGCAGCAAGCAGGGCTGGGCTCAATATCTAGGGGTGCATGTTTAACAGTTCAGCACAGAACCGGCTCCAGCCCCCAGCCAGTGACTTTGGACAATTACACCTCACCCTGGGCACCACTGGGAGACAATTCGTAGAATCACAGAATCTTGGGGCTAGAAGAGACCTCCGGGGTTATTGAGTCCAGCCCCCTGCCCAAAGCAGAACCAATCCCAACTCAATCAGCCCAGCCAGGGCTGTCAAGCTCTTCCAGCTGAATCACTCGGGGGAGGGGGCCTCAGGGAGTGCAGCACCAGGGGCCAGGAGCAGAGCAATGTGGCTGGGAGCTGGGGGAGCAGAACAGACTGGAGCTGGGCTGCTTTGCTTCCTTCCACCACCGCTGGTGACTCCTACTGCCAGGCTCCTTGTATCTCTTGGGGCACAGTTTAGGGTAAGAGGTGGGGAGAAGGTAGAGCAGGGGTTGGTTTTGGAGGAAGGGGTGGAACAGGGCCAGGGCAGGAAGAGGCAGGGTCTGGGATGGAGTGGCTGAGGGGAGGAGGCAGGAAGAGTGAGGCTCTCACCCAGGCTAAAATTGGCGTGGGGAGGAGTCACATGGGAGGATGGTCCCATGATTGGTGACCCTCTCTCTCCCCAGCAGTCTCCACTGTACTCAGGATTGTGAGGAACCTCTCCAGTATCTTCCTTTACTGTAAAGCAATTTAGTACCATGGATTAGCTCCCTGGAACCGCCAGCTTCTGGCAACACAAGCACTGCTTTCTAGGAAGCCACAAGCCTTGCTTTCTCAGTACAGGTTAACAATAGGCACGCACCCCCCCCGCATTCCCTGTTGCATCCATTCCCTGATCCACAGAACAAAAAGAGTTATCAGGACTGCTGGTTCCAAAGAAACAGTACGTCACAACTTACCTGTTACACCTCACAACACTGCTCTGCTGAACACACTGAACGTAGATATATTTATA